TTTAACGAAAGACGCGCAGAAGATGGCCGAAGCTTTATGCCTGGGTACGCGTGGTGCGTCAGAGCTCACTTTGCGAAAGCCAGCAGCGAGACAAGACGCCCAGATGATGACGGCGTCGAACCGCGGTTCATGGTAATGTGTGCTCATATTGGGGCTCTACTTCCCGAAATCACAATGTGATCATGAAAGACCGTTGAACAGGCCGTTGAAGATGCCGTTAGGGAGGCCTCTAGAAATTTCGACCATCCACTGATCTTTAACGCGCACCCAAGTCTAAGCACACTGGCCCTCCGGCATTTTCACTATGCACCAAAAATGTAGCCGCCGCGGCCGAGATTGTATCCCACGACAACGGAGTGACCAGTCGAGCGCCACAACTGCTGGAGCATCGCGGCGGTTTTGCCCATGGAGGAGAGTGCACTTCAATGATCACGTACAGATCTGATACTGGCCTCAAAAATAAGCAGTAACGTCGAAGGAGCTTCTGACGGAGTTATCACAGTGACCGCGACACCAAGGTTATCACTTGCGTGACAAATTAAAAACAGACTAAAAGAAAACATGTGAAATACAGAGTACATTGTTTCTGTTTGCACAAACGAGTTACATAAAATGAATAGCACATTACGTAATTAGTGGAGTGAAAAGACCAGCCACTACAGCAACTTCATTAGTAAATCAACTTTACCGGGCTGAGTGCCTGATAAATTTTTCAAACAATATTTTGAACAGCATGAAAGGTAGCTTTGTACAACCTGTAGGATGCCGATATTCCTACTAGGCATTACAGGTTGGTGAATTTGGAAGGGTATACTTGTTTACGATAGATGGCTATCCTCTTTAAGTGGTGTTTTCCCACGATTTACTAAAAAGCTAAAAAGATCAAGTTCCGTACGCGCTAAAAATGTCCAAACTTTAAAGAGTGGCAGAGTATGCATGCGTACTTGTGTAATCAAGCAATCACAGAACAAAATCATTTGTTCAGACTTCATTTCTGTAATTCGGGGAAATTTGAAGTGCGGGGCCAAAATAAACTTTGAATTTGAGGTGGTGCGGATGAGAGACCCGTTGCTCTTGGAATCAAGAGGGGCTGCGAAGTGTTGTAGCGTGAGGTGGCAGAAATGATGTCGGCAGTTGCTGAGGGACCTGACGAAGAGAGAAAAAACGATGAAATCTGGTTAAAACCGTAAACGGTAGTTGCAGCGGTGAAATTAATAAAGTAAAAACTATAGCTAGTTTCACAAGACTTGAAAAGATGTTACAGTCTTGCCGCAAGGGTGAAACAATGAAATCAACAAATCGGAAAGACAAGCAGTTCTAAGCTTGCAGCAGGCCGCTTAAGCACAAAGGACGCACGAAAATAATGCACGCAGGATGAGCACGAACGAACAACTGTGACAGTTGTTACTTTATGTTTGAGCCACGCACTGCGAATGCAAGACTCGACGCTTTTATTTTTTTTTTTTGAAGACTATGGTGTGTGGCGTGATCTCTCGGTGCCTCCTGCCACAAACTTGCTTTCAACGCAATGAGTTCTCGCCGTTCTACATCGCGAGTGGGTACAAAAAGGGGCTACTTTTAGGGGCGAAGCTCCTTATAGCGGCACCCCTTCGTCCCCCGTAGTATGTAACAAGTATAACATTTTGACCTCCAAGGTGGTGCCGTTGAGAGACTTCTTCTGTGCGTTGTTGAAAAATAAAAAAATAGTGCTCAATGTACATGTCAATGGCTGCTAATGGGGAATGAGAGACAGGAGCATTCGGCTTTTAGTTAACGCGCAGGCTGCGATCACCATTAGCAGCCATTGGCATGTACATTGAGCACTATCTGACAAGAAAGGGTTGCTACGCTATACTCGCTGGGTGTAACCTCCTTAGCTTTAGAAAGGTTTAGCGAGCGTTCAGCCGCAGTGCCATGAATACAATGAACTTGTATATACCATGAATGAACTCCAGGTGGTTAAAAATGGGAAGTAGATACGAAGCGCAAGCCGTAAGAAAGTAAAAGCCGAATTATCCGCCTCTCATTTCCCATTAGCAGCCATTGGCATGTACATTGAGCACTATCTGACTGAAAAAGTTTGCTACGTCATACTCGCTGGGCGTAACCTCCTTGGTTTTCGAAAGGTTTAGTGAGCGTTCGGCCGCAGTGCCATGAATACAGTGAACTAATATATACCATGAACTCGAGGTGGTTAAAGGTGGGAAGTGGACCCGAAGCGCAAGCCGTAAGAAAGTGCACGTGTGCCACCTCTCGTTTAGTCCTTGGAATGTCCGCTAGATGGCGGTGCTTCTATATGGGGAATGTGTGATGAAAAGATGCGAGATGGTAGTACTTGGAGTGTTGAATAGATGAACGAACGGACACATAGACAGATGCATGGATGGACGCATGTAACGGACGCAGGGGCGGCTGCATGGACGAACGCAGGGACGGGCGCGCGAACAGACGCACGCACGGACGGGCTGATGGACGCATGGACGGTCACACTGACGGACGCATGGACGGACGGAAGCAAGAACGAATGGACGGACGAATTCTTCGCCCCACTCTCCATCATTCACTCCGTGGATATGCTGCCATTTTTTTCGCATGCCTCTCAAAGGCAGAGTGTCGCTTTCCATTGCGCCTCTCGCGCCATCTCGTTTGTGATAAAGAAGATGCTGAAGCCGAACGGAGTTTTGGCGTACTGCCTGCGTTAAATAGTACGTAATACCATCATTCTTTGCCCTAACTAGCCACTTTTGCAGCTTCGCTTTGTTTTATTTTTATTTTCTATGTATTGCTAAACACTACCCTTTTTGATAATTCGGTCTTGAGGGTAACATAGAATGAAATTATTAGGTCGCCATTAATATGATGAAGGATGCTAGGTGCGTGGTAGAGATGTCTAACGCGGCGCACTGCGGAGCGGGGGTAGGTCACAGATAAAAATACACGCACGCGCGTTTTGAAAACTTCTTATGGTCAATTTTCTCTTGTGTTTTTTATATGCATACATAGATATACATGATGTAAACGGCGAAAACCTGCTTAGAGTGTCAGCACAATTTGTGTCACAATAAAGATATGTGAATTAACCAAACACAGAATTATCGAAAGCAAAAAGAAAAATGAGTTCACTATATCAATGCATTTTCATTTTATGGTAAATACGTACCTATTTTGCGTAAAAGCAGCGTAAATTTTTCAATTCCCGTCACTCTCAACATTGTTCACGTGTGACAACGGCTGAAAACCCCCCGCGTTTAAGCCGAAGCATGCTCTGCTCGCACTCTCTATTACGTTCCTCAAGCACCAACACCATCCCGTGCACATGACGTTATTGTTTTCGCTAGAAAAATGGCTGACAACTGATCATTCGTCCATCACAATATTGCTCAGTGCAATATAATATTTAGCGCGCCACTCAGACAAGCAAAGAAAAAGGAAGAGACAGGATAGGGCGCCAGTCCAGCAACTAGTTCTTTATTGAAATATTATATTAGGTTATCAATTTCCAACTCAGCCAAGAAACTGCACTCTTAAGTAGGCAAATCGACTTCTATACCAGCATAGCGGACCGTGGCTGGAGCTCTTACATTTTAAAGGAGCTTTCACCTTGTGGACGTTTCGTGACATTGCACCCAAAATCAAAACGATGCTATAAAGTGCTGGATCCGCTACAGACGAAACCGTGCTATCATATAATATCATCGTCCACGTAGTTCTGAAATCACACGAGAGGCCTACATTCAATCGAAACGAACTGCTGAGTACCACATCTCATGCTAAATGCACCTGCCTCGCTAAGACACGATGACTAAGAGGTTCTGAAGGCAGGCGGTAAAAATGAAAATACTCCTTGTCGCACCTTTGTACTCAGTTGCTATCAACCATAGTGCCCACGCCGTTCGCATGCACTGAGTAAAATTTAAAACGAAACAATGTTTTTTTTTTTTTTTTTTTGAGACGCTTGAGTCTTCTTGGTCACCGACAACGTCATCATGGTAAGGTTGCTGATGGCAATCGCGTCTTTCTGAAGGCCCGCAGCTATTTAGGGTTTTTCTCAAATGCTGTTCTCGTTCACTTGCGCCAGCCATTTATGATGCTTCGTGCTTGGTGCTCTACGAGGACGAGTATGACCGCATATCGTGATGCCACTAAACACTTAACATGGTTGTCGAGATCATAAAACAGATAAGAATTAACAATTTTTTAATTACAAGTAGTCGAATTAACGAGCTCCTTCTCAACTGTCGCTTTTGAATTCTTAAGCATTCCTATATTCGGCATTTGAGATTAATTTAAAACATAAAGCTTACTCAAGACTCGGATCAATTTGGGATATTTCATTTCAATTTGACGCTAATCGCTTCTATATAAGCTGTAAGCTTTCCCAAATAATTTGTTGAAATTGTATAATCAGGAATTTTAAACAGAGCTTTAGGTGACACATTGTGAATTGTCGTTAAAGAGTACCTAATTATTTAAGCCGAGAATTTCACTTGTTATTGAAAATCTTGCCATTCCTCTCTGTCATACAAATGTGTCCTGAAGCTATAGGTGAAATAAGGAATGCAGTACACAAGGTATTTCTCTAACTGATGCACGAAGCTTTCTACCAACGTTCGGACGACTAGTCAATTATTTGGAGCCGATTCTCAAGAACTGGGTCGTTAAAAAACCTGCGTGTGCAGTATACCCCCCCCCCCCCTTTTTTTTTAAATACGTATCAGAGGCAGTTTGAAGGAGCACTGTGCAAGTCGATGACGTAGAGAAACACCGTAACGATGGGTAAAAAATGTCTTCCTCAGTTATAGGTGCAAATTTCGTAACCTCGCATTCACGTTCGGTTATCTCCGATAGGCAAAGCCTTGAGCTATTCTTTATTACGAAACATAACCATCTCAATAATGATCCTAAGTTTTAAGAAGCACATGACATTATATGAATCAGCTTCCCTAGACGTAAATCACTTGACGAATCCACTTCCAGGAATTCGAGTGAGCGTTTACCATTCACTCTTGAGGGTCGGATTCCTCTGAAGTCGGCAGATGGTAGCGTACTTGGGGCACTTCAATTTCTTTGCCGTCTAAATCTTTGCACATGAGCTGAAGCATTAGGAAGCGCTTGCCCGGATCTATCTTCTGCTTGGACAGTTCCTCCACCACGCCGCTCACGCTGCAAAAAACAAACGGTGCCGGCGTCAGCAAACATTCAAGTGCCAAAACGTTCGTACGGAATCGGCTGACCCCACTTGATTATTGTTTTCAAGCGTGCTGCATGTGTTAAACCAAGACCATCATCGTTGCCACCATAGCATGGCCCTGTGTGTGAAGAACAAACAGAAGAAGACGGGGACGAAGGCAGTCCCTGGTTACCGCGGCTACGGCACCTTCTGTAAAGGTGCTCCGGCCGTTCTCTCTGTATGCTCCACAGCACCAAAGTAGGCTTGAGATGATGTGGAATATACTTTTAGATGTACATATGTTGAACTGTGCTCAGTTTAGCGCCAGCTTGTAAATGATATCAGCCCTTTACTGCCTAATGTCGCGAATTCGCGAATTACCGAAAAAGTTCGAGCAAGAAAGCCGCGGAACGCGTGCTACCTTTCACGATGTCTGTCAAGTACTTACGGAGACCGTAGCTTTCAGCATAAAAAATCTAACACTATTTTGTGTAACGTGTTTTATGATAGAACCAATTGCTTTTTTTGCTGATGGCGGAGAGCGCAAAGCGCGTGCAAGAGCGCTCACTTCTTCGTGTTTTCTCGCCTTGCTGACGCAAGTTCTATCTTAAAGTATGTTGTTTATTTGGTGTGTACGCGCTCAGGACTTGGCACAGAACATGTAACGTAGTTCTGAAATACGTTGTCATTGCTAAGTAGCCTGTTTTGTGGCATGTGGTGAAATGGTGACATATATAAAAGGATGCATTGAAGGTGCATTTTTGTTAATTTAACTGTGGAGTCATTTAAAAGTTTCTATTTAAATCTGAAAATTTTTATTGTGTGCGGCGGTACGGATTGAGGGGGCCATCAATAAGGTTTTTTTTCAACGTGAAAATATTTCATGCCGGGGTCCACCACGGCTCCATGACATATTTCCGTCATGGATGTGACGCTTTAACACATTTACTAACAGATTGTAAACAAAAATGAGAAAGAAGAGTTGCACAGCAAGGCGCCTAACCAGCAACCTCGCGCCGCTCAGCACACGACGCCTACCACTAACCCATCGAGCGACCCCGCATCATACCATGGGCGAGCCATATGTAAGCCCCTTGTACCGCAGGCGGTCCTCAGAGCTCGGCACTGCAGCAAGCTTTCCTCATCAGTAGCGAAATGGCACTACGAGCGCGCGGTGTGCGGGCACGCTTTAAAGGCCGTTGTGCCGCGGGCCGTCCCACGCGCCGATGTGCTCGCCTACTTTAATATGCAGTGATCAAAGTCTGTACAAGCATATGTGCACAGGTGTTATCTAACGTGGTGGATCGCGCGCGTCCGCGCTCATCTCGGGATTCAGGCGCTCTGTACCTTTTGTGCTTTCACTGCAAGCTTCCTTTGAAGTTAAAGTAGCTAAAGAGAGCTCTAACGTCACTTCGCTCGCTGCCACGGCCGCGTTTGCGAAAGGAGCATGCTGCTCACACACGAAGTAAAAATTCTGACCGTTGTACGTGCAAGCTTTTCCAGGTGCATACTTGTGCGTTCTTGTGGCGTACGTCTTTGTGTTTGGGCAGCCTGCTTTAAGTGTCGATTCTGTGACAGTTATTTGTCCACGCTCGTCTTGTGTGTGCTCGTTTCGTGCGAGCTTCGTGCTTGAGGTGTGCGCTGCAAGTTTTGAGCTGCTTGCTGTTCTTCGCGGGACATTGCAATTTGTTACTGCCGCATTCATTCCTTCACCCTTGCGGTAAAACAATGCACAAAGAAGGATCAACTACTTCTGCGAGGACACGTTTCAATCTCGGGCTATGCCGATTCCTAAAAAGGGGGATCAAGCACGTTTTTTTTTTACTTTTAATCAGCCGTTGCCTGTGCGGCTCCCGGTGAACAGAAAAATACACAGCGACGCCGACAACGCCAGAACATGTGGACGCAATCTGTACACTGTTTTAACTTATTCAAATGGTCGGAGGTTTTGCTAGAAAGACTGCTGAGGCTCCTTCATCAATCCTGATCCTTCAAACATCGTACTTCTACACTATCTTACGCCAGAGTCCACCAAGAGGTTGCAAAAGAGCTCCAACGCTGAAACGCAAAGTCGAGCCTGTATGCACGCACTTTTTTAATGTGAAGGAAGCGTGCACCCATGTCCATACAAACAAGTAGGAACACAGATAGCTTTACCTGTCACTTTGCACTTTGAGACGCGCTGAGGAAAAATTATATTTTACAATCTCAGCACCAAATGAAGCGTGTTCGTGCACCACTGGTTATGGACAACAGCACGGAATAGACCTCTAAATGCCTTCGTATGGTAGGAAGTCTTCCTCACTTTTCAACATCCATTTTCAACGATTGATGACACTCGGGTATGGCAACGTCTGTGAATGCTTAAAGACAGTGCTTACGTCATTTTGAGACGCCTGGCCGGCGGAGGCATGTACTCACAGTACAGCATGCGTGCACCTTCGGACAACATGACGATGTCGACCTCGAACTCTTTCTGTCGAAAAAAAAAAGATTTTTAAGTTTAGCAACAATTATAGTACCCTTTTTCCTCTGCCAAAGACAAACAAAAAAGCTAGACAACAAAAAAAACACCCCTTGGTCCATCAACCCTCCCATCAGTAACCCAAACAGCAATCCCGAAGATGTCAAAGTAAAACAAAGGGGTAGGCACTGGTTCGAATGCAGCTTAGCATCATGTTTAAACAGTTATGTTTGAGAAATCTGCCCCAATTTCCTTCGCCATCAATCCAGTTGCAGTAACGATCAGTTATTTCCTTCCAATGAACTCCTCCACCCCTCCTTTCACTGAGTGCCCCTCCTTTCACCGAGTCCCGCAGAATTATTTTGCCAAAGACGATAAAGAAGTGCAATTTAAATGGGTAGCATTGAAAAATGCTCAAACCTTAACAGTACAATAACCAGATTATCATTACTGCTTCGTAGAAAATCTGTGGGGTGATTAGAGAACGATCGAGATCACCGAATAACTTAAGTGGCAAAGTACGTACTAAACTGGTATACTATGGCGGCAGTGTTCGAATTTCGTGGTCGTAACTGATCTATATGGTGTTTGAAGAAGTGCGTCCAAAAATCACCACAAATATGCTGAATATTTACTTATTTTAGTATGACTACACACAGTCATTGTACACATAACTGCTAAAGATAAATTAACCATTTAACTAGCGGAGATTGGTGGTGACATCAGGTTAGACAATTGCTGTCCTCCCAGTGAGGAGGCCATTGCCGCTTTGATATTTCGACAAATTAGCCTCTGCTAAATACTGCGCAGCAATGAATTTCGACCGAATTATGACCGCTACTGTAGCTGAACTGGTCGAGTATCGGATTCGCAATTCGAAGGTTGCAGGTTCGATCCCTGTCGGTGCCAGATTGTCTTGTGCTTTCTGCTGTCATGTACACCTGGCGGCAGATCGGTAGTTCAGTAGGTACAGTGCCGGTTCCGACCCATCATGGACTACGTCTTCGCGTGTATGTCATATCTACAAGAAATTACATACCTTATGTTTTCCACGGCGCTTTATTAGTTCTCAATATATAGTGTAACAATGAAACCCTGTATATTAGGAATATATAAACGCAGGCCTCAATGAGCGTAACATGCATGAGTCGCATTTCTTCGCAGGTATTGCATTCGCTTCTATAGAAGCACGCCTGCATTATGATCAAAGAAAAAAAAAACATTCTCTAAACTGACTGGTCGATAGGGTGCACTTACTTCGAAACTTTCCATGAAATCCTGCAGGGTCATCTCACCTTCGATGTCGATGCTTGTCCACATGGTGTACTCCTGGTCGCGAAACTGTTCCCGAAGAATCGCGGAGAAAAAAAAAAGAACACTGTGTTAGGCTGAATTGTTCCCGATGGCTTCACCCGACTTTATAATGATGAATGCATCCTTTCGTTGGTCACTCGAATGGTCTTCTGTTCCTAAACGTGTTCATTATCACCGGGCATGGTTCACAGCCGGGATTACGTTACAGCGTTGGCTGCTTAGCTGTGTAAAAAATATGAATAATAAGTACTCTGCAAAGGGAAATACCACTTTTATATAGTAAATTTCTACGGGTATCCTGCTTTCGTAAGTCTCAAAATAAATATTTCACATCGTCATTTGTTGGCATATGCTAACACCGCATAAACACTGTCTTTTTCGTAAGTGCCGTTCCATTATACCCTCAAACGATCCTACCGGTCGCATACCGATGATGCGTTTTTAGAACCGGAATGACCAGCGAACAATCGTGCTTAAAGAGGATAACCCATACAGTAAGATTGTACAAAGAGTTAAGGTCGAAACGAGCTGCGACCCTCAAGGAAGGTGCTTGCATGCAGAAAGGCAACTTCTTGTTTCAGGTATGCGAAAAGGAGAAGTTGTTAGACACTATAATCACGGGAGAAGAAACGCTAGTGTTTCATTACACCCGCGAAACAAAACAACAGTCTCGTCAATGGCATGAGTCTAGTTCAATGCCACCCCCATTCAAGAGCGACGATGAAGATTGAGCAGAGGTGCCACGTTTCCTCAGTGAGCTGGCGGGAGACTTCTTCGTCCTATGAATACAAAAGCTAGAACACATACACAATAATGCATGCTTTGTAACAACGTATAAATTAATATAAGCAATGTTTTCTATATGTAAAAATATGTTAAACTTTTTCTATACAACCTTTGTACCACTGTCTCCACACTAGTGCAACTTAACGACCAGCGCGAACAAAGTATCAGCAGGAGGTAAACATCAACGACAACTTTACTTCTCTCGTAAGGATGGAGTTTTTTTTGGTGACGCAAGAAAAAATCAATAACTAACCTTTTTCTTCACTGGAGCAACGGGTTCGGAAAAGCCGAAGAAAGGCAACGCCAAGTTGACGAAACCGTTCTTGTACAGCTCCAACTTTTCGTGACCCTGGGCCAGCTGTTCGAAAGACGATATTGAGAAAACAACAAGGCAATTTAGTGAATCGACACAGAAAACAACAAGGCAATTTAGTGAATTGACAGTGTCATCTCAAGATTGGGAGGAAGCGATGCAGCTCTTTTCCCACTGCTAAGCCGAGCATACCGCGCAACACACAACACAAAAGACGAAGCCAATTCGCAGACAAAGCTTTGTAGTACCACCCCGTGTCTGCATGCGTCTGAGTCAACGTTTCGTCTGAGTGAAGACCGCATGTTATTGAGCCCTACAATTAGTGGTGTGGCTAAGTTTTCTTTTGTTTCTTTCTTATTTACATTGCAGCTGCTTTTCATGTATTTGTGCGCTGTAAAGTTCAAGTAAAGTTTGGTGTTAGTCCTCACTTGCTGCACGCGGATCGTGCTAACAAGCACAGATAAAGCCATTTACATATTAATGATTGCACGCCTTGCTTAGAACAACTGTCACTGCAACGGGGCTTTCACGTCTGCTAATCCGGCCTGTTAAGAATGGTGTAGTGTTCCCATTTTACGGAGAACGTGATAGTATGTCCAAGTGCAATAAAACAGCGATGACGTAGAATACAACAGGACTGAAATTCCTACAGTGTCTGTTAATCCTTCCGGCCCCGGCGTCGTTGATTGACGACAGCATACGATGTTCTTATAGCACATCTTAAGCAAAACTAAAACCGATAATTTTTGGATGAGTATTGCTTCAATTGCCCCCACCTGCGATTGACACCACCATTGTGACATTTATGCAGACTCGACAGTCGGAAAAAGACGCTTGACTGAAGTCATGGGCGACTCAAAGGCGGATAAGAGCCGTTTTCACGACGAAGTCTTGAATCGAAGCACTTCCACGCTACCGAATACGACGTTGGTTCAGATTTTGTGTGCTGTACTGCGTAGAATGAACGAAGAAGTCGCTTTTCACATTTCGCAACCACGGAGCCATGATGACCAAAGTCGACGCCGTGTTTGTAAATCCATTGTGTTTAAACACAGGCTTAATTTTTTGTTTTTTGTGGCTTTGAGAAGCCGGAGATCCTCAAGAAGACAAAAAGCAAACTAATTCTCTGTACCAAATAAAAACTTCACGGCGGAAATGGATAAGAAAGTCTCGTTTTTTTTTTCTATCCCTTCATGTTCTTTTGATTGCTATTGACCAAAACATAAACCTTTAAAAAGTTTACCGTAGTATGTTGATTAATACATCAATTAACACGTAGTATTGTTTTAGGTAGAAAGGTTTCTTTCCTAGGGGTATACGTTCCCAGAGGCCAATATTAAGACGCTGCGTTGCACTCCGTATTATTTTTCTCAAGCTGGGGTTTTTAATATGCAGAGATGTTTGAGTCGACAATTGTTTGTACATTTATCCCCTACTATATAAATTCTAGTACTGAGAAGTAAAGTACAGAAATTCTGAATCTCGCTTCAAAACATATACTCGGCTCCTATTGAGGAAACCGGCCCTAGCGTGAGCGAAATGAATGAAAATTTTATGAGTACCATTACAAAGTGTGCAGTGAAAGTTGAAGGGAGGGTAGTTAGACAGGACACTAGCAAGCTGTCCCAGGAAATGAAGAACATTCTTCAAAAACGTCAAAGCATGAAATCTTCAAACACAAGCGATTAAATAAAATTGTCAGAGTTTGTGAAGTTGATTATAGGCGTAAGGTATCCGATGTAAAAAGGTGTAAGATGGAGAGAATTGAGCATGCTCTAAGGAACGGAGGAAGCATGAAAGCATGCAGTGAAGAGAAAACTTGGGATAGGCAAAAACCAGATGTATGCACTAAGGGACAAGAAATTTCAAGAAACTACCAATATGAATAGGACAGTTAAAGTAGCGGAGGAGTTTTGCAGATATCCGTACAGTAGCTGGGACAATAAGAACTTTAATGTAAGATCTAGCAGTACCCAAGATTAGATCTCACCAGTAATGATAGAAGAAGCCAGAAAAGCCTTCAAGAGCATGGAAAGAGGCAACGCTGCTGGTGAGGATCACGTAACATGAAATCTGCTGAAAGATGGAGGACAGATTGTGTTAGAAAAACTGGCCACGCTGTTTACGAAGTGTCTCCTGACAGGGAGGGTACCAGAATCTCGGAACAATGTTAGTATCATCTTAAGTCCATAAAAAGGGGGACGACAAGGACTTGAAGAATTACAGGCTGATAAGCTTGCTCTCCATCGTATACAAGCTATTTACAAAGGTAATTGCTAACAGAATTAAGACAACATTAGAATTCAATCGACTAAAGGATCAAGAAGGATTCAGGACAGGCTACTCAACAATCGACCACACGTACTATCAATTAGGGGATAGATAAGGCTCATAATACACCCAACTACTATGCATAGCCTTCACAGATTATTAGAAGGCCTTTCATTCAGTAGGAATATCAACAGTCATGCAGGCACTGCGGAATCAGGGCGTCGACAGAGCATATACAAACATCCTAGAAGAAATCTACAGCGTATCAACTGCCACGATAGTGTTTCATAAAGAATTATTGATTGATGTGTGGGGTGTAACGTCCAAAATCGCCATATGATTATGAAAGACGTCGTAGTGGAGGGCTCCGGGAATTCTACCACCTGTGATTCTTTAACGTGCACGCAAATCTGAGCACACGAGCCTACAGCATTTTCGCCTTTATCTAAAATGCAGCCGCCGCAGCCGGTATTCGATCCTGCAACCTGCGGGTCAGCATATGAGTACTTTAACCGCTAGATCACCATGGCAGGGCATGCTCCATGAAGAAAGCGACAGAATACCAATAAAGAAGGGTGTAAAACAAGGGGCTATGACTTCCGCAATGCTATTTACTATATGCTTACAGAATGTTTTCACGGCCCTTGAAAGGGAAGAGTTAGGGATACGAGTTAATAGAGAGTATCTTAGCAACTTGCGCTTCACCGATGACATCACATCGCTGAGTAACTTAGGCGGCGAATCGTCATTCATGATTACTTAATTAGACAAGGAAAGCAGAAATATAGATCTTAAAGTAAACCGCGGTAGTAATCACGGAGCCTAACCACGAGATTGAAGTAACTACAGAATAAGAATGGGGTGGAGCACATCAGGAAAGGATTATCAAAATATGAGTGGTAGATTGCCGCTATCCCTCAAGCAGGCGCGTAGCCAGAAATGTTTTCGGGAAAGGGGGGGCGGCACATTACTTTGATTTCGGGAGGGGCACCCCCTCAAAATGACCATTTTTCGCTGTCTATGCTATGGCGACAAAATTACGGGAGGGGGGGGGCACATGTTCGTTGTGCTATCCCCTGGCTACGCCCCTGTCCTCAAGCGGAAGGTATATAACAGAGGAATCTTACTGGTACTTATCTACGGAGCAGAAACCTGGCGGATTACAAAGGGGGTTAGAAATGAGGACGACGAAGCGAGTGATGGAAAATAAAATGATAGGTGTAACCTTAAGAGACAAGAAAAGAGCAGAGTTTGTCAGGGAACAAACCGGGGTTAAGGACGTAGTTGAAATCAAGAAGAAGAAATGGGCATGGGCCGCGGGCACGTCGCGCGCAGACAGGATAACCGTTGGTCATCAAGAGTAACTGACTGGATTCCAAGACAAGGCAGGTAGTTGAAGGGGAGACAAAGTTAGGTGGGTAGATGAGATTGCAAAGTTTGCGGGTATAACGTGACAGCAGCAAGTACAGAGCCGAGTTGACTGGCGGAACATCGTAGAGGCTTTTGTCCTGCAATGGGCGTAGTCAGGCTCATGGTGATGTGAATTTGTATATCATGGCAGGGAACAGAGCTAACAACCTTAAGTTTAGCAGGGCAACTCCACAACAACTAAGCCATCATATGGCGGGTAGCGTCGTCTTCCCATAGTTTACAAGTTAGATATATCAGTGCACTTGCTAGCATGCAATCAGCGTAAAATATTTAAAACCTTCCAACGAGAATAAGAATCAAGATTTGTCGGTGTGACGTCACCTTGTACAACTCAAGGCAGGCCAGACCCGCTACGAGCGACGTGGTGGTGGCAATGGCCGGAATGATCTTTCCTGCGATGAGCTTGCTCTTGAGCCGGTCTGCTGGCTCGATGTCGTAGTTGGCCGCGCGAAGATTGGAGGCCGCCACAATGAAGTCCATGTGGAAGTTGCTGTCATCGTCCTTCTCGAAGTCCAGCGTTTCAAGGTGCATGTCTTCGAGCTCATCTGAATCGGGCAGTTCTTCGAGCAGCTCGTTTAAGCGCTCGACGTCTGCACGTGAGAGAGGAAAAAGATTCAGGCAGGTCGAACTCGAGTTGTTCTCGATGTGTATATGCGAACGCATCATTGTAACGAGAGCGAATGAATTCTAACACCAAATATAGGGTGCCACTATATCATTCTGCATATGGTAACACTAGCAAACTTTCGCCAATAGCAGGCGAACACTAGCCAATGTAGGTCAAGAAATTTGCCAACATTACACAAAAGCAGACGATACTGATTGCTGGTAGTGTGCCAGTGAATACAGTAAAAGGAGTACACCGGCGTGAGCACTCATATAACTGCTAGGTGGTTGTCAGAGATGAGTACTGTCTCCAGAAAAAAAACAAGTCACTGGGTAGCACCCGAACAGAAGCTACACCGTAATAGGTTCCCATAAAGGACCTTCCGCCGACTTTTCATGAACATATTTTTCTGCTTCGACATCGTTACTGCGTTCACGCGATCAGCTGAATAATCGTATATTCACTGCATACTGGCCATGATTTTTTACAGGTAACTTCTAGCTGCATGCAGTGTGACGACTCTAATGCGATAGCACTGCCGAGTCTTGTCATTTGGGCGTAATTCACGAACATTGCTTTATCAGGACCACCGGCATTCCTATGCAGTTTACTTTCACTTCTCTTGTGTCCACGCTTGCTCATCATGAAAACAGAGACTTGTTCATGTTCAGCATGCATTACCTGGCTTGAATCCTTGCTGTACGTGGTTGCGCTCTATTTGGGAAATGTCGAGCATTCAAAGGCGAAAAAAGAAAAAAAAGGCAGATGTAGCAACCTAAACACGCACCGTCTGGTGGCACTGGAACGTTGGCATTGTCGGCGGCGTTGTTCGGGTCTGGGATTGGTGGGAGATTGAGCACTGGAACATCAACATCTTCGAGCATTTCAGCGATCGCCTTACGGTCTGTATTGTGCGGAATGCCAAACATTGTGGCCCGCAGGTTCGCTGCAGCCACGATGTAGTCCATGTGCAGGGGCTGCGACACAACGCGGAGGTAGGTGTTGCTATTCGAACAAGGATCGCGAGCATTGCATTATATTATGAAGAAGAGCATATATTACGTAATCAACATTATACGAGGATAGATTAAACCATGTAAGCTGTATTCGGGCTTTTCCTGTGAAGTCTGTTCATTCTTATCGCTTGATCTGGTTATGGGAAAACGAATACAAATTCTTGATCCGCACATGCAGTGAGCTTAGACGAAACGCAGTGCATGCATATGTTTTTGCACCCGGAAAAGATCCACTTGTGAAGTTTCACACACGTTATTAATTATGGCCTGGACTCTTTGAACATGTTTGGTTTTTTCACATGAAATTTAGTCGAAGATAGCCTATTTCTTATCCACCCAATCGACCGTCCTTTTCCAAGACCTTTGCTGAAATTGCATCATAAACGAGCGCAAACTACCTGCGCCTTCTGTATCATCTCATAAGCACCATGCACACGTGAGAACACAAATACCCACACAGAAACACAAAAGTGATCGCGCAATGTTTACACTCTTACGTTGTTGGGGTCGAACTCGATGGGGTGAGGGCACCGCTTGAAGCCAGACCAGAACGGAGCACCGGAGCTCGTGATCTGAGAGGAAAAGAGGTAGTTGCGAAGGGTAAAGCCCGCTATTAATCCCTTACCAACGTTGAAAGCGGTCAAGCAAGAAACGCACGAACTCACAGTAGAAACATAACTGAGAATTATACTATACGCTCCTATCATCCTCTTGATGCAATCGACGTCATATGTTCCCCTAAACCACATACCACCAGTTACCAATACATAGACTTCCTGACAGCACATAAAAATAACCAATAAACACGGAGTCAAAAAGTAACCCGTAAGCACAGACTTCCCGACTGGTACAGCGCAAAAAAGCCACCGATAAAGGTGGGCTTCCTCACAAGTTACCATGCAACAAAGTTTCGGGTTTCATATATAAGAATCATAGCGGTTCGTCCATGCTAAAAGAGCTTCAAAATGTCTTTTCTGACCATGTTTTTTTTGTGTATTTGCTTTACTTACGCAGCCATCACTCTGATCCAAGCCAGTTACAATACGTTTGCTAAAACAGAATCATCTGTCAATCTAGGCTTAGGTATTTAGCATTTGTATACGGCCTTCCTTCGACAAATACATTCAGACCTCGCATTTTCATTCACTTCAAGTGCACTGCACTGCCCTTGAAAAGAGAGCCCTTACGTGATTCTCAGGATATTTGAGGAGCAGTTGTCGTATCTCGTCGTTGTACTGTTGCTGGAACCGTAGCCGGGCAAAGGCAACGCAGTCGTCGAAGACGGTTGCTCGCTCATCGACAATAATCTTTTTTATCTCCTCCAGCGTCACGACCTGCGGTAGATGTGGAGACTAACAATTACTTATGTATGCATTTTCTAGTAAAAGACGCACCTGTAGAATATGTACGTGTTGTGATGGTATACCACAGACATGCATAATAATTGCTTTTTAATGGACAATTGCACAAGTATGAACCCGAAACCTTGAGCAACATTGGTGGGCGCTGCGGATGGGGTCGGCCGTTTCAAGTACCCGGTGCCGCTAAAAGTGGATGAACAGACAGTAAAGACAGACAGAACAAAATGTTTGCGTCGAAGTTCCCCAAGAAAGACTATCGTCTTTAAAAATTGGCCCCGTATCTGCATGTTAATCTGCAAGTGTCCTTGAAAGACAGCAGTCTTGCGCGTGGAGAGAGTGAACAACACATTTATTTGGTGTTCTGCGCAAGAAAATAGGTGAATGATATTCTGGACACGCCGCGTTAGAGAGCCTCGAGCGTGCAGCGGAGGCGAACGAACGCATCAAGTCACGTCACACATGAGACTGAACGCCATGTGGCAGTTTTCTTAGAAAACGAAGCGCGTGGCTCTTGAGACGGGTGTGCGCGCCCATCTCAGAGGTGATAGGGGGTAGAACGCAAGGGGACCGGGTAGGTGCCACCACCGTCTCGTCTTAACAAAGCGTTGGAAACACTCGCCTTTTCGTGTAAGCGTTGCATGGTCAGCGCAGCGTGATAAGCGCTACGGTCCTTAAAATTATTTATGTATGTCTTTTCTAGTAAAAGACGCACCTGCAGAATATATACGTGCTGTTATGCTGCCCCAGGCCACGCGTAATGATTGCTTTTAATTGACAATTGCACAAGCATGAACGCTAAACGTTGAGCAACATTGGTGGGCGCTGCGGATGAGGTCGGCTGTTTCAAGTACCCGGTGCCGTTAAGAGTGGACAAACAGACAAATGTATAGAATGACACACACACAGACTAATATTTTTGCGTCGAAGGTTCCCAAGAATGACTAGTCGTCTATTAAAACCTATTTTTACTCATCTTGCGAGAAATGCAGGGGCTGTTTGCGAAGTATTGTTAGCGCGCGCAGCGTGCCGAACAACTTGGGAATCGTTTGCACACTGCACCAAAAAATGAAGGGCAAAGCAGTTTCTTACCTGGTGGTTGAGTTGTAGCTTATCCAATAGCGTAGGCAGAAACTCGGGGTCCCTGAAAAGTAAGTTCGTTCATTGTAATCTACTGAATGCAATCACAACTGAGACAAATAAATGAAAAAAAAATTATGTGTCTACGGGACAATGAAGGCATAAAAACACTAAAGTCACAGTGAAGAGAAAGTTTGAACACTACAGCAATGCAGTGTACTAAATGTGTGCCAATAACTAAGCGAGTATTGACGCTGAGACAGGTACTTCTCAGATCTACAGTTCTATGTAATCAGTGACCTCCCGAGGTCATTTACTAGTATAGACAAAGAAAGGCTGGCAGTTAGCTACACTTTTTTTTTACCTATCACAGATGTTATGAGTATTCTTCGCTTCAATGGCACTGCTGAAAAAAGCGCTTACGGGGCTGCATCTCAAAGCGATGGCTCTGACGTCAGTCCCGCCAAAACGCGGTCAAATTTCTAATTGGGCGCGACGTCGGCACCACTCACGTTCGGAAAAAAAATGTATCGCGCTTTCAGCTTTTATAGTCGCGGCCATTTCAACGGCAATCAACAGTCACGTAACGAGAGAGCCTCGATAAACTTAATGATCACAGAACTTGGGTGGGCACACAAAAACCACTGCCCAGAACACGACAGGTTTCTTCACATTTCGCATATGCAATACTGGTAAAATGCGTGCCTCCATTGAACGGCCAACAAGAGAATTTGTGTCCGTCCGTTCCGAGAAACACTAGCCCAGGAAGGCAAACATGCATGAGGCAGGTAAACCACGCAACACGAAGTTTAGTTCACTGTGTAAATTAAGACTGCGCTGTAGCTTAGTCAGAAGAGATGGATAATTAAAACGTGGCACGTTGGTCACATGCTCCACGGGTCCCGATTCTCCTCAGCTGCGTAATGCGTGTAGGTTTCACGATCAAAGGAAGACGTTATGATAAAGACGGGCGTTTTCCGTCGACAAATGCGACCTCTCTCCTCCACGAGCCCTCGCTTTCGATTGCAAGCTCACGAAATTCAGGAAGAAGTGCAAGACGTTCATTCGGAACGGCAGCCAGAGTTACCAGGTCGAAGAGACGAAATTGCCAGAAACGTGATAAAGCTAGCCGGAAAGTGGGCCAAATTTAGCCAAGGCCTGCAAAATTAGCTGATTTAGTCACGCGTCAGCAAAAATGACTGCGACGTTTTGTTTTTGTTTCATTTTTTTGGTGGGGGGGGGGAAGACGGGGGGTACCAAATGCGCAAGCCTTTCGATAAAAACGTAACTAAGTACCACCTAAGCTTATCCCAATGAAAACTTCCAGAGATTCCAAGCATTGACTTCAGTGGACCGTGGAGGACGGTGAAGTTTCTTATGCTGTTGCGAAAATGATACCATTTAACGCATTTAGCGTGACCCTTCTCAAAAAAGGAAGTAGTGTGGCGATAATACAAATTAGTAGTGGCCGAGGGTGTTCAAAATCATAGTCGCAAAGTATGAAGCATAAATTGTAGTTACTTTAACAATAACTTTCTGCGAGATGCCGCAGTTCGAACAAGTTGTAGTCCTGAGTCATAGACTCAACCTAAGATAAACTATAAAAGCATTTTGTAACATATTCAATTTTTTAATTCCGGGAGTGAAAATGCACCCTGTAGTGCTTTCGGTTGCCCTATTCTAATGCAATTATAATTCAAAGTCGCGTTCAAGCATATAGGCGGTCTGCAGAACGATGCTGCATGCAGCAGTTCCCACCACATGTCCAGAAGCTTCTTCGTTTGTATAATGAAAGTACGAAACTGAAGTTTTGAAACTGAAAATACGCTTGATCCATCTTGTTTGGCACCAGATTCTCGAATAGCAGCTGCTGCAAAAACGCAACGTTTTCACATACATATTGAAGTAGAGAAAATGGAAAAATATCCAAGTAGCCAAGGCGTTTTCTTCTGCCTCCACCAGCCTTATAAAGTAACCGAATGGGCGCTAAGTAGCCAAAGATGAAAACCCCCGACTTCCACGCGGTCATCGAACCATTGCTACTTATGCAGCACCAAGAAACCGAACACGCCAATCTTCACTGCGTTTCGAGCTAACATCAGCCACAAACTATCACCTGTTCACCTACGCTCTAACTTGGTAGTTCTCAAATTTCAGAAATTTTGCTTCGCCTAGAAGTCTATGGCAAATTAGGGGCAGCCTGGAACATATTTGAGTATTGCTGTAACGTCAACTCACGAGGGGCTTTGCGCTAGGCCTATCAGTGAGGCCATTTTCCTTACCGTGTTTCATACCAATGACAGCTACACGCCTTGGTACGCTATCGATATTGGAACGGTGACAATTAGTGATCGTCTAATCTAACTACGATGGGCAGAACCCAAAGTGCTTGCGTATTTCATTTTTGTTTCCTTTCGTGACCTTTCCTCGACGTTGTGGCCAAACCTACTTACCTTAATGCTTTGATATTTTAGAGGTTCAATTTGAATCTCTCTCAATGTTTGTATGAAATATCGACTCGACTTGCAGCTACGCTAAGGTTAAAAGTAGCACGAAAAGCAAACATATTTGAAAAAAAAGATGCGTATAAAAAAAAACGATTATGAATGAAAGATATGTGAGCAACAGCGTCGTTTCACAACTATGAAAAAGGTAACGTCGTCTCGTCAGTATAATTCACAATTTCTCCACTCGAAGGAAAGCCTACTTGTCAGCCCAAAAAAGCTCCTCTCTACGTTTCCCAATTTCGGGTTTTCGAATAAGTCGCTTATGAACTTCAACTTAGCAAGTATATAGTGCAAACTTTGGTGCTCCTGTGCGCCACTATGTTCATGTTCCCGACGGTTAAGGCAGTAACTCGCCAATAATAAATCGTATTTTTAACACAATGACATGTCTGAGAAACACACATTTTACGCAAATGTTAAGCGATTCTCCGCTGCTCGGGTTGTTGAATAACGATGAAGACAAATGCGACGATAAAAAGAAAGGAGGTGTTTTTTTTTTTGTCTTTTCAAGTACAAGAAAACAATTTGCTTTTTCTTGGATTAAAATTGTCCAGAAACATGACGAACGTGCAAGAATAGTAAATATTTAAAATGAGTAAAAAAAACACGACACCAGTGAAGGTTATACGTAGAGCATGCGCTCCATCATCATCATGCTGGGTCAAATTAGTGAGTAGAGATTCAAGAAATGGCTGAGAAAGTGTCGCTTTATATGTGCTTTCTGATATTTCACTGGAAGATGCTGGATTGTGAATAGTTGAGTACATACGCTTTTGCTCTGCACTTCATACTCACGTCAAGAACTGGACAGCACTTGCAGCCGACTGCTTGAACAGACCTTCGAATTCATCTCGTGCCCACTGGGAAAGCGAAAATTCGATTTCTTTGATAGAAGATCTTGAGCACAACATCAGCGTTTCAACAGTGCTGCAGATGAATATATATCATACTTATTTGCTCTCCATACGCAATAAGAGGCGCTGTCTTCTCACAGGAGAAAACTGCGCTTGAGGTGGTTATTTCCCATAAACCACAAAAAGACTGCCGATAACAAAGACAAGTACCTTAAGCCACAGCACCATTTGTCCAAAAGATGCCATCATACTTTTAATATTAAAGAATACCGGACTAGAACGAACATTTATGCTAATTTCTTTTTTTTTGTTCACGCTTTATTATAGAGTGGAATCATTCGTCTTGTGATCAGGTGTACTGTAGTAGCGAACATTTATTTTTTCAAGCTGTAACCACCCTGCTTACACTCATTTTGCAAAGCAAGAGATTTCTGAAATAAATAAGTAAATAAATAAATAAATAAATAAATAAATAAATAAATAAATAAATAAACGTAAGTTTCGGATCGACCACCCACCTTCACCAATACTGTGCCAAGTGTCACTGCTGGTTATAACTATTGCTGTGGCGAAACACATTAATGTAAATGCAAGTCGTTGCTATTGATGTAGTCGGGGGTCTGCCCAGAGTACCGGAGCCAGCCAGAGTCCCGGGGAGATGTCGAGAACAGGAGCCCGTAGTTGTTAACAGAAACTTTAATTTGCACTATTTACAGGTAGCATGTTACATGATGGTGGTAGCATCATGGAACTCTCGATGGAAGCATGATGGGAGCTTCTGAGAGCTTCTGAGAGCTTCCATGATGCTACCAGCATCATGTAACACGCTACCTGCGAATGATGCAAATTAAAAGTTTCTGTTAACAGCTCCGGGCTCCTTTTCTCGACATCTCCCCGGGACTCTGGCTGGCTCCGGTCATCTGGGCAGACACCCGATTACATCAACTGGACGGCAGTGGTGTGATGCTGCTGACAACCGGAACACAACTGCTTCGCAGCAACGGGATGACCCATGCTTGACTCGGGCCTCAACGATATGGCGAGTGCTTGGCTTTCTTTGAGTATTGCCAGGTTTTAGCTTTTGAAGTTTTCTAAAGCTGTGTGTAATCTTCTGTGTGTATAGGATATCTCCCGCTAAGGGAACCCTGTGTAGATGCGAAGAAGCGGGCGCTAACGCTCACACTTCTGCGACGTTGACGCTAGCGCTCATCAAGCGAAATCCAAGTGAAGGCTCCCTTGACTGAATTCTGAACGCGCGATCCAGTGCCTGCATATACGGGGTGGCCAGTGAACGGTTGTGCAGCTGGAACAGTCGAGTTTTTACTAGCAGACAGCTTTGCGAGGCGAAAGAGGAGGAAGGGAGGAACAGGTTTACGGGTTTCACACGCGGAGAGCAAGCAGCGACAGGCTATGAAGAGAGTGACGTCAACGCGCACGCAGTGCGAGAGAAGGCGTGACCTACTCGGCACTGCCCCAACATCCGCGGCCAGGGGAGTGCGGTGAGGACGGAGGGACAGCATTACACAGGTTAGTCAAAGAGCTCCTTCGTATCTAAAAAAAAACTTACGAGCACACACTGCCTGCATCGGCGTTGCGAAGTGAGATAGGGGGAGGCGACACGCAGACGCAATAAACAAGGGGGGGGGGGGAAGGGTTGGACGCCGCAGTACAAGGTTGCACAGCCCCCTAGTAGCATGCTATGCATCTAATAATGAGCAATCGTGTAACCGAATCGCAGTCAGCCAATAACAAGAACACGTAGATAAAAAAGAAAGCTTTATAAACTTGAGCCCTGCTCTTAACGAACTGCTTGCCGAATACCGTAATCCCGTAAACCACGTTTCCGAAGTTACCAACACAAAGCCACTCCTATGCGCTGCCAGGCAGACATCGAAGCTGTGTGATTGGTAACAAATTTATCAATTGAAACAAAATGTCGAATTTGGCTAGGTTGTATACGTTATCTCCTCCCATGGTTCTTTTTCGGTCGGTATCCTACTGGGCATGCGATACGATGGAACATTCGGCGAAGTAATCTCGTTACCGACTTTGAACTTTATTATAAGCAATACATTCTGATAGAACTTGTACACAAGAACCAATAACTGTTATGGTTAACAACGCAGTACTAAACGATAAATAACGAGGTCACTGAAATATTAACTAAAGTATTTCCGATGTGGTAACAACACAGTGATTAGGCACCTAGTTCGCAGATTATGCATTGTGTAGTGTCTCCAGGTGTACTTTCAGTATAACCTTGGCTCATGACTTCCCTGCGGCTGTAATACAAGCCGTGTTCAAATGAAGAGGTTAGAAACGTAGTAACATGACAACATAATTCCTGCGCTACTATGGGCAAATGTTGCGAGACATCTAGAAAGTGATTGGAGTATCCTTCATGGATCAGTGCATACGCCAGCGCCCTCATGCGCAAATGAGAGCAAAGGCCCTTTTAAAAAGTGCTGCCGAATTGACGTGGCCGTGCGTGTAAGAACAGAGTGGCGCTCACATCGCAAAATCCGACACTTGAGTTTCTCACAGCGGAGGGTGTTAAAAAAAACGACCACCAATAGTTGGGTGCAATTTTTTTGTGTGTGTTACGCTCCCTGAAAAAAACAACTGAAATGGAGGCGCTTCATCTCGGATGAAGCGCCTCTGTTCAACTCAATGACGCTGAAGGACTAAGTTCGTTACATCCGCAGGAATTATGGGGACAAGAAACAATTAAACTCACTCATCAATGGGATCTTCTTGATCAGGAACATAGTGTACACTTGTAATAAATTCTTCGTTGATACCCACATTGCCGTAAAGTTCTTTTTAATTCGAACACCCCCTTGTAAAGGGAGGTCTCATTCAATGAGGTTGTGTCCAATGCGGCTATGCGATAAGTAAGGCTCTTGTTGGCGTATCTGCGGATATTCCGTGTTTTTTTTTTTTTTTGCATGTGCTACGATTTGATAGTGACTAGAACAATATATTTGTTGCGCTTCAATGTTTTTTTTTTCGTAGCGATTACGTACAATTCAAGATGTTTCTCATGCTGCATCACACATGTGCGTGAATCAATGTCTATCTCTGTTTTACCCTTGTTACATGTTCGTGTGAAAAGAGGAAGTCACTTTACTGGTGCGATGTTCTCTCCACAATCGGGCATTCATGTTCGTCCAAATTTTCTGTGCCGGCCCATTTTCCCGGCTCCGTACAAATTAATATGATTGAGCACCGTTACTTTATGCGTGCTTTCTTACCCCGACTACCCGCGCTAGCTTACAAATAAAGTATGAACAAAACAACTTATCATTCACTTGAACTAAAATTGGTAATATGACGGGCAATTAAAAAGAAAAGACCGTTTTACCTTAACACAAAGTATTTTTGTTAGTATAAGCTTCTTTGTGGCTGTTTTAGTTCCGCACAAAAAAAAATTTTTTTCTTCAAACTGCACGAGCTTCTTTAAAACACCCACACAGAAGTTTGCTGCCCAGGAGCGAACCAGTTGACAACGAGGGCCTTGGTACTACTTAATGTTTCGGTCAACAATGGCGCCCGCTACTATGAGTACTTACCTTTATAGGTTAGTGCAGTATATCGACCTCCAATGATCAGTCTCAAATTTTGTGCATGCATGCGAAGGCAGAAAGAAGGAGGAACTGACAATAGTTCTTGGACCGCTATTCACAATGTTCATGGACTGTCGTGCCGCCTAGCGGAATTCAGGAGCGTCCTCTCAAGGATGATCAGTAGGCAGACGCTACCAATGCTTCCTTGTTCGGTGGTGCTAGCCGCAGTGTTAACGCGTTAGAAAACAACGAACACAAACCACTTTGTATGTTTCGTGCATAAGTGAATATACCGGACCGTCTGTGACACGATCAATCTGATTCATTCCAGCGGGACGCAAGTTTTCGTGAATATACGTGGTAGCTGGCGCTTTTGATTATAGCCCACAGAGTACAAATATCAGCTTCGCGAGATTTTCTGCAGCGACTTCGGACAGTTAAATCTTATCGTCTGACTATTCCAGTTAAAACTCGCCGTGTTTTACATGCGTATAGCATTCGTCAGTGCTTTTGTAGTGCATGAATCCCATAACATTCATTGTACGCGAAAAGTGGCGCAGGCTCGCGATTTGCGTTTCTAAACCTTGGCCTACGCTACGCCGCTTGTTTTTTACGCTCGTTGATAGATGGCAGCCCACTGCAAGCGATTCCTTTCTTGCCGAGTATCGGAGCAAAATTATCTCCGCACCCTCAGATAAACGTGGTGTGTGACGCCGTGTGGGTGTTTATGGGGTGAATGACGCGTTGTTGGTGCCATCAAATTCGTTTGGCGGAAAGAATGCCTCAGATTACTTTCAGCAGTCATGTTCAAACAAACCGCCTTGATGTCGAGGAGATTTCACTGGACGTAGATGGTTGTCAATGCGTTGAGAGTGACAGCGACGATGAACAATCAGCTGCTCGCTCACAAGCAGAGTTGCACTTCACGTCCCGTCGTGCGTTAGCGCTCGTAAGTCACTTTGATTGTAATTTTTGTGTAATATTCTTCAGCGAGCTCAAAATAAAAGCTTTTCTTGTGCATTGAATGTATCGCAATTATAGTGGATATTGCAAAGCGCCACATGCCACGAGCACGCTCGAGCTTGACCAGCGAAGCGAAATAGTTAGAGCAGTGAAATATGCAGTTACTTCTGTCCCCGCTAACATCTCCTGCACTTCACTGGTGCCGTCCGAAAGACTTTGCTGCTCGACAAATTTTCGCAATTTGGACGTTGCGAAGAGCCTACGCGCGTCGATATCCTTGTTTCGATCGCGCTAATAGAACCTGCAACATCCGAGGGCAGGTGATTGCGTACTGTCAAACTCTGACTATGGCTGTGACACAAGTACTACTTAACGGGAAGTTAAATGCTTGTGTTCCGTTAAAGAGGCAGCTGCATGGTGCTTACAGCGCAAGTAATGACGACGGCATAATATGTTTGAAAGCCATCGCTACGTAAAACATTCGGTCCTGTGCAGCCGCAACGGTGCGCTACTCACTAGTGGCCTACTACAGCGGCGAATCCGTCAGGTAGGCACGGCACTATTAATCTCGGAGTGCCGTTCAGTTCATACGTGAATTCTATTTCGCGTAGTTTTCTGTACCACGCACTGGATAACGCAAAGCATCGTTGATACACGGTCGATCAGCCGACACCACCACCCGTTGTACCCCGGCAAGAAATGAGGTAGCGAATATTCAGCAGTTCCTACTGGTTGGGAAAGTACTTTGGTTCGATATGCATTCATTTGACGATCAAGATTTCATCCGGTGAAAGTGGCGCGGGGAGCACATCCGAGCGTCCTATCTTTTCTTATGCGAGTTCACGGGTTGGTCATCCTTCCGCAGCCATCTAATTGCATGGTGCGCCACCTATAAGCCGTGGGCATTGCGAATAGGTGAAACAAATTTAAGTCAACTTCTTTTGTTACACCTTTTAACATTTTTGAACAGGTTGAAGTGAGAAGAACTTCGGATAATTGGATGACTTGGCGACATATCGCGGTGCCTTCCGGAAGTTTAGAAAGAGGTTCCCATAGGGCACTTAGAATTAAAGAAGATTGCTCAAACGAGGTCACTTTCCAGAACCACAATGTTTATTCTCCCCTGTTTCATTGGAGAAAAAGAAGAAATACGTACCTGCAAGGTGTGCTCGATGTTGTTCGGGAAATGCTTGATGGTGCAGACTGGTATCAATTTTTCGGGTGGGTCGTGGGACGACGAGTAGGACTCGGTCATGTCAGGCTTTACAACCTGCACGTTTCCCTTGGTTCCCATTGTGCCCGACTCGAGCAGGGGCTTCCGGTAGTACACGCAGCGTCTGTCCATGTACTGACCTGCACGACGTCTCTTAATCAGCCGAGACGGAACGCCGTAAATGCGACCGCAGTTCTCACTTTCAAGCAGGACAAATATTTCGCGATCTGTTGCGGGAAGCAGTCATCGCATTTAAAAGCTTCAAGCATGTTTAAGCTTCCCCTTCGAGTGCGAAACACCACAGCGTTATCGGGCACCATTAACATCGCCTTCTCATTCGTTTTCCATTCTTTCACTTATAAGTGGGCCCCTCAACCACGCTGTGAAGGTAGAAATGTCTGCGCACGTGACAATGGTCATGGTAATGTATCTTAGGGCGAGTACTGTGAATATACATGCGAAGTAGGCATCTAACGCGCGCCGTACCTAGGGCACACTATGGCGATGCTGTAATTGATAATGAGGTATGGCTCGGCCATTCGATAGAGATTGACAACTTTAGGCCACCCACTCGTTACACAATTCACGTGATCTGACTTTGAGGTGCGGTTGAGGTGTGCAAAGAGAAGCGAAGCGTGGGAAGCAAATCAGATGCGAATGGGTCCTAGTCACGCTATGACATTCTGCTCTTGAGAAGAGGCTCAAGAGTCCTCAAAATTTCAGCACTAGGGTGCTTGTGGTGAAATGCTCGACTGTCTCGTTCAATGCCCCGAGTTACTAGATTTTTCTCTCTTTGCGTCAGCCGGGATGCATGTATGAACAACACCACAGACACTGCATTTTCTGCTACACGATCTCTACAGCGCTGTCGCGTCGTAGCATATATAGGCATCGCATTTTGCGAATGCATGTTTCTGTTCGCACTTGAAGCAAAGAAGAGCTTAAAGACGAACAAAAAGCACTCTCAACTTAAAAGAAAAGCATTAAATGAAACGAACAGCAACAATATTTATCACTAATGTTGAAACAGGGAAACGATTCCAGCTAGTATTTGTTTCTATGAAAAACATCAAGACTACTCTGGTACGCATAAGGAAATAAAAAGTATGCCAATAACATTTTTAGAAAAAAATATTTATAGGTGAGTAATGTGGTGTTGCTCCTGAGCAACTATGGGCACCTACGGTAAAACCACACCTGGAACGCCTTTCAGCAGTAGCGGCCTGAAATAAAGTGTAGATGCAGGTTGCACTATCCAAGATTGGGATTTAAATGTATAAATTCCCAAAATGTTGGTTTACACCTGCACTAAGGAAGTCGCCTTGGGTCGGATAGCCTAGAAAAGACATTTGAAAGCTAAAAAAGGGAACGTACAATTTTGTTTTGTATAATGAAAATGATCTTTTTATATGTATTATTGTGAAAAAAAAAGAAGGCATTTAACCGCGCAGACATTTTAGTAAAAATAAAGTTTCTTCATTTTTCTATGTCGGAGAGATCGGCGCGCTTATTCTGGTAGTGACGCACAAGAGGAAGCAGAGCATGAAAGGAGCGCGAACCAGTTCTTGAAGATGATTCTTTTCTTTTTCTCCCATACTGAAACCATCAAATATAGTAGCTTCGCAAACTTTAAATTACTACAATCGCACGTTCCCATATCTTTTTGTACTACCATATATGCCCAATGTTGATCGTGAGCAAGAACCCATTCGGTATAAAGATATATACGGTGTAACTTGTGGCCACGCTAATCAGCGTGCCCATAAATGTTCTACAACGCCTTCTGAGTCATTTTGGGTATAGCAGATGTCGCAGTAGCTTCCTCTTCCGCTGTACTCGAATAAATTTCCTACGGTTTGTGAAGCTTCTTTTACCATCTGTGAGACGCTGGAACAAAACACTACAAAAACGCGATGCACTCATATTTACGAATATTTTAAAGCTCAAGATGCTCGGTAGTGTTTGTCTTTTACCACATATAGCATCAGAAGTGTCGCGCAGCTGGGCGTGTTTGCTGAAAAAAAAAATACTTTGGGGGTTGTTGCCCCAAAGCAACAGTAGGCATCAAAGGGTTAAACGGGTATGTGTCACAGCCTATCACAAAACTTTAGTAATCATACATGGGTGTGTGCCATAGAAATAGAGTATACCCACTACTAACCACTGGCCCACTAAAAAAGACAAAAGCTAGCACAACAAATGAGCGCTTAGTGGACGCTTGAGCTTCACTTGAAGGTGACGCTTAAGCGTCCACCAAGCGTCCATCATGGCGGCGAGAAGACCGCGCAATGATGGCAGGCTTACGCCAATGACGACGTGCCCGTTGTCTACGAGAGGTGCGAACGCTTGGTTTCAACGAGTGTTCTGTCTCGGGATTTTCGACACACGTGTGGTGTCCCACTTCCGTTTTGCCCCGAACTACTCTACACCGAGAATAAACGTGGAGACAACCTATAGCATCTAGTATTTGATGCCAAGCAACGACCTAGAAGCAACTATCATGACTCTGCATGACCTAACTAAGGCCTAGAAACAAGCAAGAAACAACCAGATTAGTCTTCAAAATCGTACAGGTTCGATGTTTCAAGCCTGGCGCGGCTTAGTGAAAGTGTTGCCCTTATTTCGTTAAGCGCGCAATCATGAAATATATTTACCACAACACCAAATAGGGCCTGTTTTGCACCATAGTAAAATATGACAAGCGCAAAAACGAAAGAATGAACGAGTGTTGAGAAAAGGCCCTTTCCGTCAGGGTTTCTGCTAACGCTCAAGCGCCATTTATGGCTCGAAAAGCCGCTTATTTTTACCTTGAATGAGGGAGTATAGACATGCCAATAGTTAAGAGGCGACGGAGATGATCTCTTGACACCGACCATTTTTCGGTAACCGCGTCTTACCTGAGAACGAATTCTGAAAGCTTGCCGTTCGTAAACTTTCTCTACCGTTCGCCAGCCGCTTTCGTTAATAGGGAGGTTTAGAATGACCACACCCCAAGCCCTCGCGGTGCGGTCACTGCCACTGCGCGTGCGTCGTAAATCGAGCCACCATACGCGCTTGCGGCCCGCCCGCTGAAATTCTGAAATAGCATGTGGGCCACGCGAACCGAGAGTTCCGTAAAACACTGTGTGTAGCTTCCGTGAATTTGGATTTGCGGTCGGTGCTGAAGTCACTTAACTTTTCCCTACGGGGAGAAAACGCTATTCTAAAACGCATATGGCACCCGCAACAAAAGCAACGCCCGCAGCGCCTACGAACGTAATTCTAAACTTCAGTTAACATCGGGATTCTGGTGCGCACGTAAGACTTCTTTGTTTTTATTAAGAGCCCTGGTGTATAGGCATGCTCAGTGTGAAGTCACAAAGTGCGTTATAGTAACGAATTTCATTCACCACTTATATCCCTTCTTGAAGATGAAGTTACCGACCACCTGCATTGTTTTTGAAGATGCCTGCCCACCACTCACGTGCGTCCAAGTTGTCCAGCGCGTTGGCCACGCCGTCCAGAGATTCGAAGAAGTCGTCGTTGTAGATGTTCTCCGTCTCCGGACCCACCCTGTCCTCGTGGACTTCGATGTTCACCTCGGGGTTCATTTGAAGGACAGCGGTTGCAGCCCTCTCGGACTTCATTCGCTGCGTGCGGGCGTGAAACATACGAGTGAATAAGTAGTAAAAAAAGCTTATAGTGCGCTCGCAGCAAGCAAACAATTACCCCGGGTGGCATCCGGCTCACTAAAAGGAATGAGGGCCGGTTTAGAAAAACTATTGTAGCTTGGGTTACACTGGGCGGGATTACGCGGTTTCGCGTGGCTTATGGTGCAAGGAGCAGTGAATGCGAGCGCCTCACCGGTCTGCGCATTCCAAAAAAAAAAGTAACATCATTTCCGCGGCATACGCATTATGATGTACTCCGTGGCTCATGTGCCTCGATCCACACTGCTTTATTCTATGGTCACGTCTGCCGCAGCGCTATACGTACATAGATAGGAGCGTTTGCTGGTATGATATAGCCAGAAAGGAGAGTGAAATTACTCTTCAGCGGCGTATAAGAGTGGAGAAGCTTAACTCGTCGGATCCCGAAGTAGTTGCCTGGAAATCAGTGGTTGCGTGTAAGAATAAAGAATAGAAGAAGGCTACTAAACACGCTGCGGAGGCACCAGAGCACAGGGAAGAACGTCTCGCAAAGTGGCGTCACCGAGAGGCTAAGTGACGTGCCGGACCATCTCAGCAGCAACAAAAACAAAGCTCGTCCATTGACTGACTGTACGGTCGAACTTGACGCAAACACCAGTACCACTCGGACCTTCAAGATTGATTTCGTAAATAACCCGTTTCAATATGCGTGCGACGGGTGCGAAATATTGTGGCACATGCAAAAACTAGACGTCCTCAAGTACGTCCACGCGTGAAACATTCAGTTTAGCGGCGCCACCTTAGCTCACGCTACCTATATTCTGGCACAGCCGAGCTAAGCCAATGCTATTTTTTCCCCTTTTTAAATGCTTGCTCCAATATTCACCGTGTTAAGCTTGGCGGGCATGGTTGCGTTGTCAAGAACGAGGGAGAGAATTCATTTCCAGGCGACGGTGGCAGCACTTTGTCATGATGATGGCAAAAAAAAAAACAGTTCTTTCAAACCTACATGCACTTTCAATCATCAGAGGTTATTAACGGAAACCAGAAGTTCTTCATTAAGACATGGCGCATAATTCGACCACAGTTTTACACATAGTACCCTATAGTGCGCTCTTACTCATGCGGGTGCAGGCCATATTCGTATATGTCCGACTATTCTGAACGTCCAGGTTGTCTCTTAAAAACAATTACGGCTTAACAACTTTGTGTATAAAGCCCTATGGTCTGTACTCCGCAACTCTGTTGCGCCAGATTTTATCCCAAGTTTCTTTCATATCGTCTACGTGGGGTCAAGTGATGCGTTTTTTAATCTGAAAGTGTTTTATGCCGGGGTTCATTAAGATTTCAGGGATGTACTTCCACCGCAGAAGTGACGTCTAAAAATAACACACCAGGAAAGTTTTGTTAGAGGAGTTGAACCCATGGTAGCCAGCAACAGCTGTCGGGCACGCTATCCACTGCGCCGCGGTCACACACTTTGTAGGCTTTAGAAACACGTTTTCTCTGTCTACTGGCGCCCTCTCGAAGTACCCCAGCTGCAGTGTAAAATGCCTCATGGCCGTGAGATCCAAGATAAGTTTCTTCAACGCGTAGTTTATACGCGTCCCCCCTCTTAGGTTTGTTTCAAATAGGAGAAGTGCAATTCACCTGGATGTAGCTCGGCGTTTCCTTAGCATCCCCCCGCACACGCTCGCCACGCGAAAAATCGTAGCCACCACCATCATCATCATCATCATCATCATCAGCCTGACTACGTCCACTGCAGGACAAAGACCTCTCCCATGTTCCGCCAGTTAACCCGGTCCTGTGCTTCCTGCTGCCAATTTATACCCGCAAACTTCTTAATCTCATCTGCCCACCTAACCTTCTGTCTCCCCTTAACCCGCTTGCCTTCTCTGGGAATACAGTTAGTTACCCTTAATGACCAGCGGTTATCCTGTCTACGCGCTACACGCCCGGCCCATGTCCACTTCTTCTTCTTAGATATGCGTGCTTAATTAGGATAGTAACATCCTAATTAAGCTGTAAGCATGTATTTACCGTGAAGCCATTGATGCTTACTTTTGGCGTAAACAGAATAAAAATCTCAAGCTATAGAAATATGATGTCAATGCATTTTTGGTTAGAAATGATGGTTTTCACATGCTTGCAGTTAATGGCACGTCACACGGCTCGTCGAACGTGATAGTGGCGTGGTAGTGCCTTCAGAAAAGTTACCACATGAATCAGTACACTGCAAAAGTAAGGTAAATAGAGGCAAATTCATTATGCAGGAGGTTTAACTTTTCCAAAGTAAAATATATCTAGCTATTTATTACCCTCTACTTGATTCGAATAGCAAAAACGAGAGGTGTACACGATTGTGTACATAGCGTCTCAAAGGGTTAACTATCGAACACCAATAAACATTGTATGAGCTCTCTTATATAAATGTACAATAAGCACTAAACTACTTCTGTAAGAAGACAGTTTACTTTCGTGTTCTACTGATTCTTGTGACAGAAGGATCATTCATATTTCTTTCCACTTACTTCGCATGAAGTTGGCCAGATAACTTACGAACCATTTTTTACTTCGATAAGAAATTGTACCGACACACTCGACAAGCTTTTGCCGTTGGCGTCACCGTCACGTTCCTTAAGAAGTCAAGATTGATAACATACCCCCGCGCATCGTATGTTCTGCCCGCGATAAAACAAGTACTATCTGGGAGTAAACGACCTCTATCAGAGGTCAAACGAGCGGGTCCATCTCCGTCACTCGGAGGGTGCAGGCGATACCATTACCCCTGTCGGCAGGCCTGCGGTCGAAGAAGAAAGGAAACGCTCCACCAGTCTTTGACAAGCATAAAAAGACGCGAGAGGGAAGGGAAGTCTTGCTTGAGCAGCACCTGTGAACATTGATTTTAAGGGCACGGTCACCATCGCTGGCACGCGTACAATCTCGGCAGCCATGAGTGGGCGGCTCGTATACGTTTTGAACTCTCTACGCAAAGAGACTGTGCAAAAAAGGTCTCTGGAGCAGCCGTATTCTCTTACGCCTGCGTTTTGCACAGTTATGTGAGATCAGATCCAAAAGAGTTAGCTGCCAGCCTAACTTCGTATAACTTTCCAATTCATTTCCATCGCATTCATTCCTTCGTCGTAGTGGTGAAACTGCCTTTCTTTAGTAGGGTCGCGTTAAGTTTGCGAGAGCCAACATTTCATTATCTTACACGTGGGACGTGCTGTAGTGTGGCCTCACGAAGCAAGTTATCGCGAGCTAGGCAATTAAAAGAGACGAAAGAATTGGTCCATTTCTCGCGAACATACGGGAAAGCAAGCGTACGATCGATCTTTGAATTGGCAGGCAAGGCCTCACGGACACAAGAAATCACATAAGGGCACCAGATGAGCGTTCTGTATTGTTATTCTGCGCCTTACTGTGTCCGTGCGCAGTTTCATGTCCCATCAAAGCTTCTCAAATTATCACCACCAAGCCAACATTGCAACCATCGTTTATGCCAAAGCACACAATGATCCCATGGAGTCATGGAAGCTGCAGACATGCACTCACACCCAGTGGAAATGATTGGATCAATTTTGTCCGGGATTCAGTATCTGAGGCAAAAAGAAACAGATTTGCACTCGCCTTGCACGCAACCGCGAGTGGCCGACACGATTGCGTGGCCCACGACCCACGACGCTCCTGCAACACGCCTCGTAGGACGCGGGCGCACATGGTCATACGCCCCCTTTAAAAAACACACATATTTGGATGAAGCGGGAGTATGATTGATTGATATGTGGGGTTTAACGTCCCAAAACCACCATATGATTATGAGAGACGCCGTAGTGGAGGGCTCCGGAAATTTCGACCACCTGGGGTTCTTTAACGTGCACCCAAATCTGAGCACACGGGCCTACAACATTTCCGCCTCCATCGGAAATGCAGCCGCCGCAGCCGGGATTTGAACCCGCGACCTGCGGGTCAGTAGCCGAGTACCTTAGCCACTAGACCACCGCGGCGAAGCGGGAGTATGAGACTTACACCAACGTCCTCGGGCCGAAACAGGAACTGCCTGTTGAGGTTGGACCTCTCGATGACATCCATGTCGGTGACATGGATGAGACCGTCGTTTCCTCCGATGCCCATCATGGCGAAGTTCTTGAGGAGCTCACAGCCGATGGCTCCCGCGCCAACCTGCGCGTATGGTGCCAATATATTGGCGTTAATGAAACAGGTGCTTCCCGGTCATAATGACTAGCAACGCGCTCAAACAGAGTAAAAGTCAGCACATCACGTGTACCTTGTGTACTACACGAAAAAGTAGATATCGCACGCCCACGTACATATGAACATATCGCTATGGTTTTTACGCATCTCTTTCTTTTCTTCATGATAACGTATCACGCGTACACGTCTGTCTAGAAAACCAATCGATGGAACTTTGAGGACTGGAATGCTCTACCATGAGTCTGATAAGTTGTCCACGGGCACAGCAATAGAGTTTATCCTGGGAGCTTAGCTGCTCTAGGCCCCCCCCCTCCCTATTTAAAAGCGTAATATTAAATGTTATGAGAGAATTTAACAATCCATCTACTACCATACTAGCAGCACTGGTTAGCCCCGGTTCATGTTAGCCAATGTAAGCCAAACGATTGCAAATGTAAGTAAATGCTGGCAAGTGTTCGATAAAGTTGATCAGCTGTTTTTCAGCAGCCATGCTGTCCTTCACTCTTACTTAAAATGTTTGAATTATCTACCTTTTCTTTTTGCTACCACACTGCTCCTTGCTCAGTGCGCAATCTTGGGGCTCCTTCTTTCACTCAGCTTGCGTCTCAACACTCGGGCTGCCTCTGATGCCGACTACTGCAGCCGACGCATTCTGCATTCACACGCCGGAGCCTCCACTTCCTGCCTCCGATTCCGCTTGTTTACGTATGTGCCGAACCCACTGGGCCAAAGTCATTTAGGGCTAGTAGCCATATTTACAGGTACCCTGCTGCGCTTATCTACTTACCTGGGCACACACCAGTCAGCTAAGAGTTTTTTCCTTATAAAGCCATCAGTTTATTGTACGTAGTGCTCTATATTTGGACAAATACATGGCTAAACAATATAATAGGCAATATTGTAGCACTCAACCTCCCTCCTTTGCTTTTATAGAAAACAAAAAAATTTTAAAAAAGAAATCTTTTGAACATGCTGTTTCGATTATGGTAGTGCAGAAATGTTCCATAAAATTTATGGCAGAAAATTGAACCAGCGCCAGTTCAAGGGTCTACTATGTAATACCCCTTACCACAAAGTAATTCTGGGACATTAGTTGGTCTTGCACGTCACACCCGAAAACCCGGGCCTGCCCAGCGTAACGGGTGTGCTCCTGCGCAGCGGCGAAAGAAGGTAAAGCAAAGCGTCAGAATATAAATAGAAGGAAACCTGCATGGTATTCGAAAGTTTCAAAGTTTCCATTGAAACTGCGAGAATGGGCTCCGTAGCTTCTGGTAGCTTTCTAGCTTTCTTTTTAGAAAACGTACCATTGCGTACGCACTCGCTTCCGACACTTCGGCATCCTGCGGGAGGCACTCGAAAGCATCGAAGTAGAACCACTGCTGGATTGGCCCGAACTTCCCGCTGCAGGCCTGTCGGGAAACAAAAAGACAAGATTAATGGGCAACGAGTCAGTCCAGACTGAAATACGGCTGTGTATTAGGATACCGATATCATTGCGCAGCACACGTTCTCTATTAAGCCGGGCCATCTATCCAGTGGCTACGTATGGTATTGTAGCTGTAGCATTACATTATGTCTACGGACATGTTGTTTGAGCCCGTATATAGGGCTACATTCACGTGTTATACGGGCTTGCATACCAATTTACAAGCTCACAAGCCAAGTTGAGTAATTTTGTTTAATTTAAAAAAAAACTGGTCTCACACTGAGAATGGGACTACGTCATCTTCCCCCATTTAATGTCTTAGTAGACCACCTCAGTGTTGGCTTTTCTTAATCATAAGGCGACGGAGGAGGACGAAACAATTTCCTCCCTAGCTTTCTATCTTAAAGCTTTTTTGGCAAATAAAAAGTCTCACAGCTACGTGATCCTACGAAAATGCTTTTACTAAAGAAGGATCGTTTTTCTTTGTTAGACACAGTAAACGTACGGACAAAGCAGCGAAGAAAGGTGTACGAAACGCAATTTAATATTTAGACTGTATTTTAGTAATTCTGCTATAAATGTGAACAAAGTGCGGTGGACGAAAAGACAATTTGTCTTGGGCAGGAACCCGGAACGAAACATAAGTCGCGCGGAGTGCTCTACCGATGAAGCTTAGTAGAGGGTATCCCTCCCTCTCTTCCACTTTTATGCGTGTTTATGTACATGTAAAGCTGGGTGTGTAACTGAAATTCCTGTAATAGATTCTCCGCAGACGTCCAGAATGACTTACGCGAAGCCTGTTAAAACATACCGCACCATTTAGGTTGTACCATAAGTACTTATGCGTCATATCGTGTCACCCGCAAACCACACGAAAAGCTCAATATAGTAATACTTTATTGACACGGCCAAAAATGCGGCGAAAACTAATAACAAGGTCATATTAAGTATAAGTTACAAATGGCACGTTTAGGACTTCAGCTGGCACGCAACTCGAAGTGTATTTTGCCAAACAAACAAAAATTTTTATAACACTTCGACAGCCAACCCTTTGAGTAGCATTCACCTGGTATTCAAAATCAAAAGGATTCGTAGCTGGAACACACCTTCATGACTTCCTGGGCGGCGATGCTGCCAATCACCGCCTGCATGGGACACAGCGAGCCGGCCGATACGTAGGAGAGTGTCGTGATCAGCCTCTCGTCTACATGCTCTAGTGGTGTGGCCAGCTTAGTGTTCCTCAGTTTCGCCCATCGTACAAGCTCCTCTGCATCCTCCTGCAATGACCACGTGCGCTTAGAGAACGGGTGTCACGGTGAGGGTAAAGGTGAGAGGGAGATGATCTCATGGACACCAACGAGGCACTAAGATAACCGGTGTAACGAGAAGCAGGAGAGGAGATAATGGAGCAGCTACACCTTCTGCCGACTCATCGATACTTGAGAGTACAGTGAATGAAATCAAGGTAAAACGTAAGGAAAAAAATCACAGCATATCCACAGATGATGATGAGTGGGGCGAAACGTCCGTCCGTCCGTCAACTATAAGAAATCGTCAACTATACGAAAACCACTAACGTCATCTAGTGATACGATTTCCAAGGACATACACCCAAAACGCCATCTATTGGACAATAGAGCTGTCTACACACCTACTACTACTACAACAGAGGGAACGACCCACACCTTAACGAGATAGCCCCCCAAACGGTGAGAGTGGCAGTTCGGTCATTGGTTTAGTCAAGCTAAATGTGCAGAAACGTAGAACTGTGCGTGACAATATTAAGGCGTTGCTGAAGAATCACTACTAAGGTTTAAGCTTTTTTTTAACTGTCGATTGTAAATAACTACAACATTGGAGAACACAACTCTAGCGCTCACAGCTGCTTTGGTGAAGTTGTCGTATACTAATATATATCCGTATACTAATATGTATACGTATATATAGTTGATCAACGGTTGATTAACTAGAAAGCTTAAGCATCATGAGTGACTGGTGATGCAGCAAACAAAGCGTCGGCCGTCAAAAACACGACCATCGTTGCGACGCGCCATCTTTTATGCATCACGCATCACTTTCTAAGCTGATCACAAGCGGTCACGCAAGCTCTAGAATAAGCTGGAGTGTTCGCGCCTTGGGCGCCATCTTAACAAAACGATCTACTACGATCGTGAAACTTCTCAAACACTGAGGCGTGGTCTGCGCCGAGCGTTGCTGACAAACTTTGTGGGCGTAAACCAAATAGAGCAAAATTGAAACAGCAAACGTGCGTGGCTATATGCAATATACATGCCAAATGTCATCTTCTTCAGAAAATATACGTTATAATTCCATCTGGAGCAGCTTGGGAAATGCCTTGTAGTTTTTACCTTGCACTGGAGTTTCGTTCTCCTCCCCTCTAATTCATTCAATCAATTTGCTTTGTCCCTGTGTAACACCAGCGAGACCGCACCATGGACGCATACCTTGTTCCAAGGCCGTGGAAGGCGCGAGTGCGAATGCTGGAACTCGTGGAGAGCCTGGAATCCGAGGTGGAGTTGCAGAGGACGATCCATCTTTGCGAAGTCGGACATAACGAAGTCCGGCTCGGCCATTGACTCTCGAAATGATTTCTGCGGAGATAAACAGGAAGACAGACGTTTCCAGTGATTAACGCCCTACCAAACGGAAAGGCCGAAAAGGGTCATCTAAGCACGTCGTGAAATCTCTCTGTTCTATACGCACTCGATGAAACAAAGGCATGAGGTACTCACAAACTTGATGTCCTTTGGCATTTTTACTTGAGTTGCGACGCCGCCAGTGGAGTAGTCGCTGAACTGCGTTGTGTCACCCACGGAGAATTCATTTGGCCCTTGATGAGCGTGAAAAGTACGGAGAAAAACAAATAGAAGAGCAGTTTAGAGCTAATCCATAAGCTGGCACCAGCTTAAATGGGCTCACATGGTGGATCTGATTCGGCGGAAAAGCGCGACGCAACTTAATCTCGTGCGCCGTGGATAATCTGCTCGCCCATTTCGCAACGCCGTAGTCATAGAGAAATGTACTATATGAAGAGAGGCCACTGGAGCCTTTTCGCGGCCCAGCAAGAAATCGTCTGACCAACCGCTATATGGCGTACCCATCCTCACATTTAATTCTTTGTTAAGACATGTAATAGCTTCCTCAAGACGACAATGAATACCCAAGTGCGGCATCAATTTTTTGCAAAGAAGAATTTTTATTATTTGTGCAATTTTGCATATCTTTTCTATATCCTGTCTCACTGAGGGCATTTATTGCCTTACAACAAAAAAAACAGCAAAATATGACTAGAAATTGCTGTTTTTCTGCATTTGTTTTGCACAAAGAGGCACATTCATGTGGTTTAGATGTACTGTACATGTATTCCCTTTAAGGAAGCATGGGTGTGTAGCCTAGTGGTAAAGAAACTCACTTTCAGAGCATGAGGGTACGGGTTCAAATTCCAGCGTCGGAAACAGTTTGCTATTTTATTTATACTGAAGGCATTATCAGGTCTGATCAACCACTCGTGGCGCTGAAAGCAGCGCAGTAGCTGGGCCACAGGGCCCTAAGGGAGTGTCCGCTCCTTATGTAAGTGTGTTTCTCTATGTCGTAGTTGAGTACAGCACTCTATCACGTGATTATCACTCGCAGGCATCGGTATACGTCCTGCGAGGCATGCGGAGGCATCTACCACCACACAAAACGGTTTGCGATGAAGTGACGTCGAAGGAGTCACCACTTACCGAGCACCCTGACTTTCATCGGCGCGCAGTTGTTTATCTCGGTCATGCCTTTGACTTCGGAAAAGGTGACGTAGTCACCATCCTCGAACCCATGCTTCATTTCGTCCAAGCAGGTCACTACGCCCTCCGTGTCCTTTGCGGGTGAGTAAAAAAAAAAGAAAATGCCAACATGACGTTGTAAGAGGAAGTCCGTGATGAACATGCGCTCTGAGGGAAAAGTGTGCCTTTTTTACGCGCTAACGCTGTCCACTTTATAAGCAGTCTTTCACTTGGAGTTGCAGTCTAAGGCTTGAATCAATCTTCTACGATTAATCGATACATTTTAACTTACGTTTTATGACCAATAAATATACGTAAGCAGTGGCATTATCGAAGCCCTTGTCAGGTGTCGTGGGCCGCTGCAACTAACTTTTTTTTTCGCAAGAACCAGGCTCCTGAAGCGGGTTGTTTGGGTCGAGGAGGGTGAAGTCAGCTTGAAAAATATGTCGACTAACGTTGCCATTCTAAATAATAAATATATATTTGTAATAATGATATCCACGGCCTTACGACCCAACACAAATATGATTATGGGAGACTCCGCAGAGGGTGGTTTCAGGTATTTGGACCACCTGGTGTTGCTTACGTGCACTAGCATTGCACAATACACGGACGTCTGCCATTTCGCCTTTTTCGAAATGCGGCCACCGCGGCCGGAATCAAACCTGCGACCTTCGCGCAGCCGAGCATCATAACGACAAGCCCGCCTCTGTGGAACAATTACTGATATTGTATTAGTCATAAAATATTGTACTTGTAGTATCTTTAATATTTGTGATAGCAGATCAGTTGCTTATAAGAGCAAATTAGAAGGCTTGAGCAATCGTAGAGTACCAGATTCATTTTACGCTGCAAAGAGCTGCACCACACCGCGCTCGTTTCAAAACAGAGCGTGACCAAAGCACTTTATTTACACACCCGGGTGATGGAAGATATTAAAACAGACAGCGGCTCCTCCCCGGTCGGGTCCACCACTCGGAAGTTCTCACCGAAGTCGCAGAATATCTGCCTTCAGTGCAAAAAAAACACAAACATTAACACAACATCACATTATATGCGACACGCCTTTCAACTTTCCTCCGCCCTTTAACCGCTATCTCTAAAAAGCGGGAATTTGGTGTGATATGCTGTATCGAATATTATGAGACCAACATAAGCTGACACTAGCTGAAGTTTATGAAATATTCATGAGTTGGTACGATCGGTCAATGATAATTAATATGGTCCGTTATAATATTGGACCAATTAATGACGAATACTGCCTTGATTTATTGGTTCCGCTGTCACAGCAACTGCATTGTCTTCCAATGTATTTTCGATAAGGTTCTTGCGTGAATACGCAGACAAAGAGCCGACATAATTCTGCCTGAATTCTTTATGGAACATTCCAGATACGACACTCCGCCAAGGCACGCGTGAAAACAGTTCTGAACAACGCACCCCGCCAGGCCCCGGGTATCGGCAACAATCAGCGAAATGTTGTTCTCGCGGGCAAAAGCGGCGATTTTTTCTTGCTCTTTCAATGGAGTCTCCGTCAACACCACAACCTGGGAGGGCAGAACAGTTTGGTTATTAACTTCGGCATTCGTTCGCTGCTAATCCTAAAGCACTTAAATAGCGCGTAGCGAAGGAGCCGTGTAAAGGCGCTACTCTCGCGCAGTTGAGATGTAGGCACGGCCAGCTGTTTGCTTGCATACCATGCAAAGCTCTATGCGACTCTCTTTTGTTATTGCCCTTTAACAATTCACCCCCCCCCCAAGCACAGATTAGAATATGAAAGCAGGGCCGTTGTCCAAAGGAATCGTTTTCTGTGAAATGCGTCTTTTGCTCCCACCAACAAAAGGGGCAATTTTCATCCGCGTTGCTTTCTGTCCACTTAAGTAACTGCAACACAGTTAGGAAACCACAAGCAATGACACCTTTGCTTTACTTGGCTTAAACGCCGGTCGGTTACACCTGCTTAAAACTTAGATCAACTATCAGCCGGATGTTAGCTCTAAACAAAGCTACTCACACTGAACTTCTTCAGGAACTCTTCGTTCAGGGGCTCTGTGTGGGCTTCCACACGCACGTACTGGTTGAGTCGCGCCAGTGATGCCTCGGAAGCCGAGGCTCTGTTCTCGCCCAGCCTTTCCTCGCTGAGGTAGTACTGGAAACCATACACCACAATGCAAACATTGCACGTAGCAGCGCATCATTTTGTAGGGGGTTGTAACAATTTTCCGATAAACGTGTCAAATGATATTAGCTCCATCAATCGTCAGTCAAGTCCTCGACGACATTATTTTGACTGTGAATGAAAACACTTGCACCCGTTACACAAATCGAGAGTTTGGCCTGAGCGCATTTACGCAACAGAATTCGGGGCTGCCTAATACACTGCAGTCAAAGTTTGCAGTCTCGTGTGGTGTATAGAATAGGTAGACTGGATTGATTCGGCAGACGTACACAAAATATGTCCACATATGAGGACGCAGTCCAGATTGAAGATATTCCTTCCTTACATGATCCCCTTGTTCTTCCTTACCCAATACCCAACATTGACCGAGCAGCACCGACTGATCGAAATAAAGGTATTCACTCATTCATTCATTCATTTATTCATTCATTCATTCATTCATTCATTCATTCATTCATTCATTCATTCATTCATTCTAGATGTCCGGTAGAATGTTTTCTTTTTCTGAAAAATACAAGCGTGCTCACACTAAACATCAAGAAAATCTTGCGATGCGCGATTAACATCACTTAGTGTTCTAGTTAAGCCCAAATCTTGGTCAACGATGGTGAGTAATATATCACTAGTTAAAAAAAGCGGTCGGACACTCGCAATAGGCGCGTGTTAGCCAGAATGACAGTAAATTAAGATGCCGACAATGTAGGTGGAAATTATCATTGGGGCAAAGTGTACGGTAGTGCGTTGCCCGTACAAAACACACAGATCCAATTATTAATCACAATTACATCATCAAAAAAGGGCGGCTGACAGTTCTGTATGCCAGAAAGTGAAATGTCCTCACTTGCGAGGATAGGTCGTGCCTCGTGCACACGGCCTCGTCGTGAATGGTGACCGACTTGACGCCACCCAGAATGATGTTCTTGGCGATCTCCACGCCCAGTCCTCCCATTCCGCACACCAGGACATCCGACTGCGCCATGCGCAACATGGCGTCTCGCCCGAGCACGTAGCTGCGACAAAAGATGCGCCACGTGTTCACCATACAGGGACGCCAAAAGACAAACAATATAGCAATACAGCGAATACAGCAAACTTCCAGTAGCGATAAAGCATGTTACTCATGCATCGTCCACTTACAGTTGTCTAGAGTAGAGGCTCTCATCGATCTGGGGTGGGTTCTCTCCCGATGAGGCAGTCGGGGCCAGTTGTCTCTGCGTGCACATGGCAAATATTTATGTCACAACAATCAGAAGCACAGAAAGTATCAATTTACTGCTACTGAAAGCGAAACGCCAATTCAAGTCCCCTCTATGAAGTTGATAGAGCTTAAAAGTCAGAGGGGAAGTGTGCGTTTTTGCGTTTCGAAATTGAGCAGCCTATGCTCAGGTATACTTATTATATAAGTGGCACGGGTACGAAGTGGCCTCCTTCGCTGTGTTCCCCAACTACACAAGTCAAACGCCGGTGCGAGCAGTATGAAAAACTTTATAAAAATATAATATAAAACAGACGGAATGAGTTGTGCTATGGTCAATGTAAGGTAGGGTAAACATTAAAGTGTTTTCACAAAAAATGAAATCGTACAGAAACATAAAAAGAAAATGTAATTACTGGCAGTGTATATAAACGGCAACTCAGCACAAACTCTTCGTCGAACTGGTACGAAATCGACGTTGCGGTTCAAAAGACGAGCTATGTTAGGCAAAAACCTTGTTAGGGAAAAGCATTGTCCGGCTCATATGCCTCTCAAATGAGTAACCGAGTGACGCCAACGCGAGACACGAGGCAACTACAGGGTGGCCTTTTTATCCTTTTATTATGCTCCACAGTGGAGAGTTCCCTCTTAACCAGACTAGTCATTGCGACTGCCACTCTCAAGATTCCCAAGTGATGCATTAGGATCGCTTCACATTTCAAATGTGGAGCGTTTTAGGGGGCTGGGCTGGCGTACGCTGTCGTCGCATGGCGTACCACTCTATGCGTAGCATTTTCAGCCCTCGCTCGCACCAAGGAGGAGTCTTGTTCGATTTGTTTTTAAAGCGCCTTGATGATGATCGAATCACTCATCAGTAGCAACAGTAAAAAAAAACTAGGTATAAAAACCACACATAACAAACCGCGTATAATAAAAAACATGACTGATCCCTCTGCCACAACAATCTGTAGAGCACGAAAGTGAAACGTATTTTCGCAGAGGTAGCTGAGGATTTATTGTAAAATATTTCGCCACAAAGGAACACATTGTACAGCTCGAAACTTTCATCATGCACCTCAAGCAGAAAAGAACATACACAGGACGAGCGCGAACTAGCAACTGTCAAAGCTCGACAATCAAAGCGCTGTGCTGAAACACAAATAATGGCGCATGTATGGGCGCACGAAACGGACGCACAGATGTCGAGCGAAAACTAACAACTGCCATAACTGTTACTTTGTGTGTGTCAGCAGCACGCTCCTTATGGAAGTGCGGCTGCGAGCGATGTGGTCTTCGCGCTACCTTTGAACACACACTTGTGGTGAAAGCCCACAAACTACCCCAATCAAGAGATAAGCGGGTGCGCACGCGCGACCACGCCCTGCTGAGGCGTGCGCTCATCTCGACGCGCAGAGCCAACCACTGGCACGCGTACGCTCGCGTCTACGCGTCAAAAGCGTCAAATGCGCCTCTCGGCGTCGACGTCGGAGGGTCATACGTGAGCAGGCGCGAGGGATCAAGCAGGGCTTGATATTTCGCCTCGCGTACGCTACGTCACCACGCGTACAGCGGCGCCAACCAACCAGAGGCCGCGATGACTCCGATTGGATTGGATAAACTTTTATTTATTGGATAAACTTTTATTCCGAATGCTGTGCCTAATGGCTGCCGCTTCGAAGGCACAGCCGAGTGCTGAAAGCAAGCATGAAAACTACGCCAAACGTTCCTAAATGACCGCTTCGTAATCTAGAACGACAACGAAACGACGAACAACTGCGAGTGCTACCAGTGTGACGCGCTTTCGTGCCGAGTTCGAGCGACGCCGACAAATCCAGCGAATGCCGGCCGGCTATGCTAGCGCCGGTCCCGTGTGCGATCGTCGGCCGAGCGAAAGGAGCATGTCGATGTTCTTGTGCTTTGATCTGTGACTTTCTGTGCTAAAAACGAGTGTAAACAGACTTCGGAGGTTCGAAGGTTTGAGCGTGAGCCCTCGCCTACCGCGGATGCAATTCAGATCGGTGTCATCTGCATCCAGCCCCGGCCTCTACCATCTAGTTCGTATGAACCAGCACATGCGAGGCACATCGGCTGAAAAAACTCTAAGGTAGTTTCCGTCGCAACATAGACACCATATACGACGCCCGAAATATCGCGTAGTTCATACGGAGGAGGAGTTTTTATCTGCACTGTGTTTGTTTTCAACATCGGTATTCATAATCGCTGAAAGCGAACCTCGCACTAGCCAACACATTTCCGTGATGTGCAAACGTACGTACTTATATAAGTGTATTTGCGAATTGTATGACGCGGAAACATTTGTTGGCTTCGGTGCTAATCGTTTTCGTGTGTTGCCAAGCTAATAACAAGCGTGCGCTGGTTGGTAGCAGTGAGATGTGACTTCGTGTCGGGTACGAGCTGTCAGCGGTCTCATTTCCATTCACTTACAAGACAGACACTCGAGCGTGCGTTGCTGTGGTGATCGAAAAAGAAAGTTGCATGATTAAGTGCTGCTGGTATTGCCTGCTATTTCACTTCTCGCTTCTTCTGGTTCTCTGCCACGCTCAGTAACACATACGTTGTTTGGAGGCGTTCTAACACACACATTCTTAATTTATAGTTCATTCTGATACTCGTAGCTATAGGCATACAATGGCGTTTTTCCGTCGTTTTACAGTTTACTATAACATAACGCGCGTTCTGTTTACAGCTGGACAGATAACTGAAAACCTTGTGAGAAGCACCTGATTTGAAATCAGCTGCATGATGACACGATTGTTGGAAGAGAAGATCACCACATGTATGCACAGAATGAATGAAGGTGCACTAGTATGGTACTGCACTTTGTATGGAAGAAATGCGAAAAGTACCTCGTGTGACTTATGAGACCTTCCAGAGCTGTGCATGTATTTATCTGTTCCTCCAGACTGTAATCAGCTGAAGATATTCGATGGTTCCGAACATTGAATATTTGTATGTGTTTCCAAGAAGTCCTTCATTTCTGTTCAGTTTTTATTATATGCATTAACTTGGATTATATATACGCATGCACTTAAGCATATTCAGTTTAGTTCTGTTGGAAAACTTGCCAAAACTTCTGTACGGTGCTCTGGTGCAATCCTTTGATCGGTATCTGTCCCATCAAAAAATTTTGGCATGCTTTATTGCATCATAAGGTATTTTGACAATTGATGACATGTGAAAGCCACAGTGCTTGGCTGTAATCTCAAAACCAATGTCTGGGTCATCAAGAAGTGTCAGATGCATTTTGTAGATGTTAAAGGATACTTAAACTACCAGCAAAGTGCTGAAGTCTTCAACACAGCACTGATCCGCAATCACGACCCAGCTTAGAAGTCATTTGTAGAGCTCTCTAACACGTTCAAATAAAGTTATCAAGCACTGGATTGATCTACTTGATTTGATTGCTAATACCAATGTGTCTGACTTTTTGGAGGCACTGGTATTATAATAATGTCCTATTTGTCTCATTTATTACAGGGGCGCACTCAAGGGTAGTGATATTAACTTACCTTGGCACACTTAATGTGATATTACTGTTTAAATCATTTCATTTTGTATATACGTACGCCAATTTTGCAGTAGCCTCACAGTGAGCAGCCGCATTTGAAAATAAATAAATATACCATCGGAAAGTGTTCCACGCTGTGCTCGGTTCCAATCTGGTCACTAATATCTGTTGCATAATGATGTGTTGGGTGTGTTTTATTGCATTGGAGAACATTTTGGCTGCCTTCCATGAAGGGTTCAGTTCTATTATTGACCGATATCTGTGACTTCATAAACAGTTGGGTGTCGCTTGTCGTTTTAGAGAATACTTTGACTGAAGACAACGTCCAGAAGTTTTCCATTAAGGATTCAGTTCCAATATTATGACCGATATCTGTGACTTCATGAACAGTTGGGTGTCGTCTATCGTTTTAGAGAAAACTTTGACTTAAGACAACGTCCAGAAGTCTTCCACTAAGGATTCAATTCTAATATTATTACCGATATCTGTGACTTCATAAACAGTTGGGTGTTGTTGCGTAGCGTATGTTTATCAGCTCGCGACTGCTTCTGCGCAGAGCCGATAAGACGAGCGGACGAGACGACGGTGAGTTAAACAAGGTTTATGTACAGCATATATACAGAGGCGTTACAATTTCGGCACTGGGGCCGACAGAGACTCGAAGAGCCGAGCTCTCCTCTCTAACACATAGGTCAGCCTTTCGCCTAAGACCGCTGACTCACACACATGTCGGCACTCCGACACGGGGACGCCTCTCACATAGGACCGCCGATCGCGACGCGCCGCAGGGCTTCTTTTATTTACACCGGGTCCAACCAAAATGTCCAATCAGAAGCGCCGCTGGTCGTCAGGGCAGATTCCGCCAATGGGGGTCGCCGCGCCATCCGTCAGACCACCAGACACGCGGACGCCGGCTCGCTGTCACGCGCGCAGCTGACTCAATGCACGTGGGCCAGGGAGGCGCCGCGCGTGTTCACTCCGTCGAGTTGATCGCGCCAGGCGGGCTGCGGGCTGGCCTTGACCCAGATTGCCTTTTTCCGAGGCACGGACGTTTGACGAGGACTCGCTGGCATAACAGCACCCCCGCCGCCAGACAATGCACCGGAAAGACGAGCTGCTTCCACGGGGCTCGGATGTCAGGTGCGCTCGTTCGCCAGGTCCCTCCAGGTTCGCCTCCAGGGCCATGGGGAGAATACAGCTCCAGACTGTTCCGGGAACACATCCCAATTTTGACGACGGATCCCAGCTCCACTGGCTTGTCGCCACAACTTGTCGACCAGCTTCACTCGTCTCTTCTGACCATCTTCGGTTTCAGCACTTGTCGATGGTTCTGCAACTTGCTAAGAACGGTTCGACAACAGACAACACACGACACACGCAAGTGCCTTCGGTCACCCGACAGAACACCAGACAAAGTATAATACAACATATACCTATCTACGTGTTTATCGGAATTTTGTTCCCTCTACATCAAGAGGCACATGTGG